TAAGGTAAATGTGCAAATCTATGAGACTTGTGTGCTGTCAGCCCTACTTTATGGTTCAGAAATATGGACTATATATGTTAGACACTAGTGTTCCCTCTAAGCTGCTTGGTGTGCACAGCCACGCAGGTGCACCTGGTAGTGAGGCATCAGCACGCCTGCACGGCTGCGCATGCCACACAGCTTAGAGGCAACACTGCTAGACAGACACATCAGGAGACTGAACAGCTTCCATATGAGATGCCTGTGGAAGATCCTGAAAATAAAATGGGAAGACAAAATATCAAACACAGAGGCACTGGAGTGGAGTGCACAGGAGTGTTACACTTAGAAACCACTAACAAGAAGAGGAGGTTGCAATGACTTGGCCATGTCAGGAGAATAGGAGGAGACCATAACCCCACAAATATTTTGTACAGTGAGATCCGAGGTGGCTCTAAAAAGCTGGGTCACCCTTTATGGCAGTACTACAACATTTACAAAAATTATATAAATCTGTTCAACATCAGTGTAGAAAGCTGGGAGGAGCATGCAGAATCCCATATGATCTGGAGGGAACATCTGACACTGGGTGCAGCTCAACATGAAGTGGCTTTGATCCAGAGGATGGAAGCAAAGCGAGAAAGAAGAAAGCAATACGCTGTAAACTTGGTCTCCAACTCAAACAACACATGGATCTGTGAAACTTGTAACAAGCTGTGTCACTCTTGAATTGGGCTTGTCAGCCACAAGTGAATTCATCAGGCACCTGACTAGACTTCTTACACGTACACCATGCACCAGAGGATCAACATTTGCCTATATTTACAAGAAGGAAATGTTCGTCTCAAATAGAATGCATAACCATAAAGACACCTCAATCTTTTTATTTTGTTTAAAATGCTGGAGAAGCAGCTGAAAAACTAAATCACTAGAGGAAGGAACCTGGTGTATCTCTGCTTGATCAGATTTGTATTTGGGTGTTGGGAACAGTGATAGACAAGAAGGCTTTCAAGAAGTGACAGCATTCTTCTGAATACCTAGCAGCTTATGGACAGCCTTTAGCACATGCTCTTCATATAAAACAAGCACTATGTATTAGCTCTCTGCAACAACAGCAGATATGCAATATGTGTGTGATACTATAGGCCTGAGCTTTTCTTAGTCCATAAAGGATGGATCCAGTGAGATAAATGTGAGGGGCCAGCACTGTGGGATGATGAACACCATACGTTCACATTGGGTTCAAGAAGGGGTGAGGATACTCTTTGTAGAAAAAACAGCCCTACCTTTGTTCTTCAGTCTACACAACCTTTGATAAGTGCACTTTCATGGAAGCAGAGGGTGTGGTGGATGGTGAGTTGTAGCCACAGACATAGCAGTGAGAAAGAGAAGCTGTTACACCCTGCCAATCCCACCCTCCAACCTATGAATACTATTTTTATATAATAATGTTATGCTGGATTGGATGCTTCTAAACTAGCTCAATCTCTTTGTTTATGGTGTTACATACAGAGATCTTAACCACAAATACAGGTTGCCCATTTAGGAACCACATGATTTGACACCAAAACTGTACCAAAGCCAGGGGAGAAGGTGGACCAGTTTGTTCTTGGCAGAAAATATGAAAACAGTTGTCACTGTGATAAAAAAAGCAAAGTAAACAGTTCTGACTGTCTGGCTTGCTGTGGCTTCACAATCATTAATATACACTCTCTAACTTTCATATACATTTTATATTAGTTCTTTTGAGTTATAATTATAAGCAATCTGAAAATGTCTTGCTTTCTTAATACTCTACAAATGTACCTAGCATATCCAGAGAGCATAAGCAATGACAGCTTAATTTATTTTACAGATAAAGATTTCAGACACCTGTTTTATCAGAGAAATGAAACAACAGTGCCTCATATTAAATACGTTTTGCACCAGTAATCTGACATTTGCAGTGTTCAGCACTGTTTAACTCTCCTGTCATTAATTAAATTAGGAGCAGGATTTGTTTAAAATAAAAGCAACTTCCCCAATCATGTGCTGCTTGTTCCAGAGGAAATAGTTGTTATAATAGAGTTTGAGATATGAAAATTCCCATCTTCTCACCCCTTCCTTTTCAGTTGCCAGTGGTGATTTTTATAACATCCCATCACAGCACTGACTGCCATTCTACAGCAAATTATTGATTTTACTGCTGTTGGTGTTCATAAGACAAATCACTGGGACCACTGACTCTGTCTATCCACTACATATCTCTCTGGAGCAGACATGTTGAATAACAAATGTCACTAGCAATCTCACTTTTTGCAATAGCCATATTAGCTGATTTTGTCAGAAGACCAAATGATCTGCAAAACTCTAGTCTTTTGTAACTCAAATGGCAATATATGTAGTTTCACTATTCAAGTGGGTGGGTGCATAAAATCTAGAGACAGAGACAGGCTCCTTTTTGAGAAACTGTTTCCTCTCAGTCTTACCAGTAGAAATCAGAAATTAATTTTATTAAGTAAAAAGAAATAAGCATAGTAATAAGAGAAGAGAATCAAGTCCCAAATTTAGGCCTGGTCTGCACGTAGATTTCATACTGTATAAATACTGCATAAATACTGCAGTTTGAATGTGACTTCTGTTTTTAATAAGATAGTTATGCTACCGATAATAACTCAGGAAAGTTTAATACATCCTGTGGATGCAGGTATTTTGATTCCCCTTTCCATATGGAATAAGCAGTACTGGCATAAATGCATTTATATTTGTTTTGTCCACATGGGTGGGAGAGTGGTTGTGCTGCTATAATTGTCTTAGTACAGTGACAGCAGTAAAAACTGGATAAATAGGCTCTTCACTTAAATCAGCACTAAGACACCATGTACACACACTTAAATCCCTAACAGTTTGTCCAATACACCAGGTGTGGGGTACATTATTCTAAAAAATGCAAAACCTAAAGAAGAACAAAACCCAAGTTGAAGCATAACTGCAGGTTACTGCTAAATATAAATAAATGCAAACGAAGATATTCATGAGTCAGTTTGCCAGATGGTCCTTAACTCAGCCTTCTGTGCACAACTCACACCATAATACTGGAAAATTAACAACAACAAACAAAGAGTCTGGTTACTACTGTTAAGAATTATTGTATTTACTCAAATCTAAGATGACCCTGAATTTAAGATGACCCCCAATAATTAGATTTGATATGTGAAAAATTTATAAAACTGTTATAATTTTCCAAGTATAGTAATTATTGGAGGGTTGTCTTGAATTCAACCCCCTCCCCACTGCTCCACAGGGAAAGCAGTGGCTAGAGGGGAGGGTCAGACAGACCCCTTGCCCTCTGCCCCCCCACGTTTTTCCCCTGCAGCTTTCCTCTCCCCCAAACAGCAACCCTCCACCCTTAGCTCCTCAAAGGCTTTGCTTCTTTCCCTACCACCTCCCCAGTCTTTTCCTCTTTCCCCCTCAGTCCTCCCAGTTTTTGCTTCTCATTTCCCACTCCCAAGTCTCCCTCTCCCCACCACTTCCCAGTCTCTGCTTTTTCCCTGCCTCACTCCTCAGTCTTTGCCTCTTTCCCCCTCACTTCCCAATCTCTGCCTCTTCCACCCTCATTTCCCAGTCTCTGCCTCTTCTGCCCTCACTAGCTAGTCTTTGCCTCTTCTGCCCTCTCCCTCTTTACTGTCAGATGCTGCTGGGACTCTATTTCCTCCCTGGAGTATAGCACATCCCTTGCTGAACCATGCAGCAGCAGAGGCTGCTGAGTGGCTGGGCAGGGGATGGAGCTCCACGTGCTCTGTGCCCAGAAGAGAATCCAGCCACAGCCGGAGTCAAGCTGTGCCTGACAGTAAGTGGGTGAAGGGGGTAGAGAGGGGGGCAGAAGCTGCAGAGAGCAAGCAGAAGGGGAGAGGGCAGGAGGCTGCTGTGGGTCTGACTGTGGCCCCAACCTGGGCTCAGGACCAGAGTCAGAGCTGCAGCAACTGC